ATGATGCCTTATTGTTAGACAGCGATTCTGTAGTCCTAGTGGTGTATCTGGTCCTTAGACTTGAGACACCAAGGATGTCCTGTATGAGTGCTCCACTCTTTGATACCAGACTTATAGGTTTGGCTGTCCCCAGACCTAGTACAGCTGGTCATTGGGAGTGGTAGTCGACCTTACGAGGGCTATTGAGTGTCAATAGAGGATCATCCACTCTCGGCGTCATGAGAGGAATATCCTATGTGTTCTTGCTCAGACAAATCCTTGACCAGGGGCATTCGGGTTGAGAGAGAAAGAGTTCTCCGGAAGAATCCGATTAGAGCAAGACTCGAGTAGAAACCGTATGGGTCTGACAGCACCATGCTCGATATACGGTCTCTGGGATATTAGATGGATGAGGGACTATAGGTACATGGTAACTGAGGACAGACAGGTCCAATGGATTGGATTCCCCTGTATCGTCTGGGGACTACGGCGTAGTGGCCTAGTACATCCGTAGTCGATGAGTCGAGTGAATTATTACAGAGATAATAATTCACTGAGTTAGAAGGAGTTCTGACAGGTATGACTCACGGCCAGCTCGATATTGGGCATAGAGGGTCACACCCATATGGTAGGCATTGCGATGAGTAGAGGTTCGGATATGAGATATCCGACGGAGCCCTTGTCTTATTGGATGCAGATCCAATACCCACTAGGGAATGACCCATTAGGGTTTGACACGGGATCTCTATAAATAGGAGGGATTCACAGCCTCATAGGCTAGAGTCTTTGCTTGCCTTTCCTATTCTCCTCTCCCTCTCCACCTCAGAGTAGGCCTGAAGTTTTGAGGAGCGTCGTCGCAACCCTGCTGTGTGGATCACCGCTAGAGAGGAGGACGCTTGACCTCCTTCACCCTCTCCTAAGGATCTGCAAGGAAACAGGGATATACGATCTCCCTAGGTAACACAATCTCTATACTCAGTTTTGTGTTTTGTAAATTTTTGCGCACCAATCTTCGCACGACGACGAACATCTTTTTGGGAATCGGGGATTTTTGTTTTCTTGTTCTTCCGCTGCGCATATGATGTTGCCCCCAATGATTTCCCAACAAAAAGTAATTATGAAAGATTGAACCTCTTAATTAGAAGAGACTTATTAAGCAACAAGCTCTGACTAATTAAGTAATACCTAAACAAACAACTAAGAAGAAACTTATTAAGCAACAGGCTCTGACTTCTTGAGTGAAACAGCATAAGTGATAGCTTGAATCTCTTCGGACTACAATCTTAGTGTTACCTCTCTCCATCGCTCCTCTTCTTTTTAATCGTCAACACCTCTTTCTTAGGTTGTTGTTGATATCTACTTTAGGGTTGCTGTAGTTGTAAAAGCAAGGACTTATAACTAGAGTAGGACTCTTAATTGGAGTCCAACTCTTCTTCCAATTCGAATCCAACTTGGATTGAGCTGGGTTCACTCTTTCAATTGATCAAACTAAACTTTGAGCTTGAGCTTGAGTGGGCTACATTTGAGTTGAGTTGAAGTATGACTCGAATTGAGTTTGAGCTAAGTATGATAGTGTCTTTGTTTCGAGTAGTCTATTTGTTAATCACTAAGTCATTTAACAAAGACAACATCTTGCTTGGCTTATTGTCTAACATCAATGGCTTGAGCACCTTTTAAGTTCTTCATATTTACATCTTCATATATGGAGACAACTCTACTTGACAAACGTTATCTCCAATCTAATTCAAGACTTAAACAGTTCATGTGGAATGAGTGGTTGAGTTTCTTTCATCCTCCTTTTAGTTGTTCCTTCTCTAAGTGCAATTAGATGAGGCTAAAGGGCAATGCAAAGTTTATGTTATCTATATATCCTCATCAGCATATCTTTTTGGATCCAACCCAAAAAATATTCAAATGAGGTGTGCTTTATAGATCAATCTTGTTAAGATGAGATTTTTTTTTATTATCGGATGACATTGATAAACTTTTGTTGTACTTGAATTTGCAATATGAAGAGATCTTCCCAAACCTCTGGACTAATCGGTGGACTCAAGTCTTTTACATTTGGCCCTACCATAAGCGATAAATGTATATCCACACAATTAGCCGACTCAATTTTGGTAAGATCATCACTGACATTTTTCATTCTTCCTCACTTTCTTGGGAAGAGTTTTAGGTGAGTCTTCCAATACTTCTCTCTTATATATTATGTCATTTTACAATGATTGCAAGAGAGGGTAAAATGGATTTTGAGTTGATTAAGCCATGTGTCTAACATCTATGGAGTCGTCATAGGTGAGGATATTGATATGAGTTTTGACTCGAAAATGTTATAACCTTACCTTTGCTATCGGTTCCATGACATTGTCATCATAGTGCATCGTCCATAAATTAGTTTTGATTTTCGATGAAGACGATGTCTTCTCCTTTACTATAAGGCACTCATCTCTATCAGATTTCATTATTGTATTAGCTTGGATCAGATCCAACCCATCACGTCCTTCATCTTTTTCATGAGCAATGCGAAATAGGCAGTAAGATATGGTGATATTTTTGGATATTATCTGCCATCACATCCACAAATAAGGATCGTCACTCTAATACTACCTGATCCATTTGGGGGATGGATTTAATGATCTTGATCTTTCCTCTAAATAGATTTATTATTTTTGGAGGATTAACGGGGACATTGAAAGAAAAAATATCTAAAAGGAAAAAGTATCTAGATTGCTTTTTGACAAAAAAAAATAAAATTATAAAGAGATTTCTTAAGCATACAAGTGTAGCTTCTTGAGGCTTCTCTATTGCTACTATATTCCTCTCTTTTCCCCTACTCCTTGGTCTCCCGATCGTCCTTTACTAATAGTTATAGAGGGGAAAGACTCCTTATCAGAGAAGGTTTTTTAGTTAAAATTCAACTTTTAATTTCATATAGGAGACTCTTAGACTTTTAATCGAAGGACTCTCGGTCATAGTTTAAATTTTGATCGTATGCAAGGAGACTCCTAATTAGTCAAGCCATTTCGATTTGAGTTCAACTTAAATTGAGTCTCTTATTGCATATCATGATTCATTTGACACCACTAACACTTACAAAGAAGAGAGACAAATATAATAAAAAAATTATTTCACTTTAGTTGAGAGTTCTTATTCTCTCATTCCAAGCTCACATAGCTTGTCATTCATGATTGAACACCTTCTAATTTATACATTAGAGTCATATCACCGAAAGATTTTGGCACCCCTTCGAATGGAACACTCTTAATAATATCACAATTATAGCAGTTGATATATTTATTTAAATTTGATCAAATTAGGATTTGATTAGCTCTTATGTAAACAAGGTTGAGATAATTTTATAAATGATTTTTATGATATTATATATAATTAAATTATATGTGTATAATATTATTTATGTTTTGATAAATTTATTTATAGGGAGTGTTATAATAATGAGGTCTTATTATTTCAAAAATATATAATAAGAGAACATAAATCATGTTTAAATCTTATTATTTCAAAAATATATAATAAGAGGACCCGATCCTACGACTCGGATCTCTGCACGAGGCACACCGCCGCAGATCTCGCTCAGTAAACCCGTCAGAGGTAAGCTTACCCTTCCGAACTCATTATCTGTCATTAACCCACGTGATTCCCTCTCACGCCTGCGGATACCGTCACTGCTTCTTGACTCAATTACTTAAGGCGGATCCCAACACGCCATCAACAGTTCCAAAATCCCGCCCCAAAGAGGCGTTCCTATCGTCACCGCGAGTGAGAATAACCACTGTGACAACTATAAACTCACTCGTCCTTTTCTCAATGGCCTTTATCGCTTCACCGCCGCTTCCTTCAGTCCCAGCGCCTTACTCCTGCTGTCCTTTCCTACTGCGATCATGGCCAAACCGGCGGTCGCCGTCGTCTTTGCGGTGGCGTGCGTCCTTCCGGCCCTCGCGATCGCCGCGCGCGACGTTGGCGTCGTCAAGCGGGGGTTCGTTGTCCAGGGCCGCGTCTTCTGTGATACGTGCCGTGCGGGGTTCGAGACGCCGGTATCGACCTACATCCAAGGTGAGGGTTTCATGGCACCGCGTTCTAGGCTTCCCATCTTTTACTCTTGTTGGAATTTTTGCCGTCGATTTTTGCCTGGTTTGGGTTCGATGCATCTGCAAACGTCGAATCTGGAGACTCTGGTTGGCATGTGAGCTTCATCTTGTTACTTATTTACGGTTAGTAGATCAAAGGGGAGGATTGAAGCGATCTAAAAATAGGTTCTTGTGTATAGATCATACAATGAGTTAGAAACACCTTAAATCCTTTTTGGTTGTCAGCCCGGAAAAATCGTTTCTATTACATGTTTGCTTTAAGAGCAAATGCTTTTTTTTCTTTTTGATTGGAAGAAATATTTGGAATGCCTAAACAACAGATCTAAACATTGAAAATATTATGCGAAGCTTTTTCTCCATTTCATAGCAGCAAAAACTTTCATAGTCCTTGTCTGTCAAAATAGCTGGTAGAAGTAATCACATACGAGCGATTGAAGATGTAATCAAGTTACGGAGACATCATCTTTTACTTCCTATATAATGTTTGGACATTATCCTTTTAGGTTGGATATCATTTTGGTGGAATAATCGTTAAAATATATACATGTATATATTTCTAAAGAAGAAATATGATTTTTTTTCTCTACATAATTTTTCTAATTTCCAAATTTAATATCTAGGGAGATTTGGAATTCCCGATGGTATATATATTTATATGTGTATATATTAATGGAACTTTTGGATCCAATATTTTCCTAGTGGGGGTCTCAATAATTCAGAATTTTTCAATCTCTATAGAATTTTTTGTTCTCAAGAGTCCTTTCTTTTACAGACTTTACTGTGAGTTTTAACTTTATATCAATTGTGACTTTGTATGGTATGATTCTTAGTAAGGGTTTAACCTGAGTTAAAAGACACCAATGCATAAGTGTTTGTCGTCAATAGCTTAGCTACAAAGCTAGCAAAAGCCTTAAGTCCCAACTCCTCGTAGATTATGAATTTTCTTTTTAAAGTTCTAAATATTTTATTTTTAAAACACAAAGTGGATGTAAGTAATAGAAGAGTGTTAAACATGGGCAATGCACATTGGGAATTTGATTTTAGTAGTGTTGATGGTCTGAAACTAAAATGTTTATAGAGTCCCTGAACCAACAGAAGTCATAATCTTTTGTTGTGCCAATAAACTTCTGTTTACAAGTTGATGAAGATGCAGGCTACATCGACATTATTGATGGTTGATTTTTGGTCACTCTGGATGTCACTGATCATGATTAATGATATGGATTTTGTTAAAGTTTATTTTTTCACGTTGTCTTTGGGATGATTGTTCTTGATCTGTGCCTAGACTGACTGCCTCCTGCTTTACTCTGAAAAATTTCCCATTTGTTACGGACATTGTGATTCATCTGCAGGTGCTACGGTAAGGGTTGAGTGTCGATCAGAATTCACTGGTGCAAAGACGTGCAGTTTCGAGGGCACGACCGATCACACGGGTACCTACAACATCCTAGTTGAAGGCGAGCATGATGACCATGAAATCTGCGAGTCTCTGCTCGTTAGTAGCCCAGAAAGTGGATGCAAGACTGCACTCCAGGGTCGCGAGAGGGCTCCTGTGTTCCTCAGCCACAACAACGGTATTGCTTCGGACACCAGATTTGCTAACTCGCTTGGCTTCCTGAAGGACACTTCATTGCCAGTCTGCACTGAGCTGCTCAAATCCTATGAGCAATATGAAGATTAAGCAAGAATACAAGCTTACTAGTTTGTTTTATGTGTTCCTCTATTTGGCTCTGTGACAATCGGTGAATGTCTTCCCTGCTTGTGGCTAAATATCTTTAACAAGTCTCTGTTCAGTATGCTTTTGCTATATGCTTTGCTTGTTGATATCTGATGTGCTGCCTCGTAATTTTATTCACACGTCCGACGTATGATCTGATAGATTCAACTTAGGATAGTGCAGTAAAAAATTCTTGTTGTTATCCTCATAGTTCCTATGTAGAGGTTTGCATCCTTGTGAAGAGCTCTGGGATTCTATCAAAGACGTCATGTTGAACCAATATGATTCCTTGAGCAGCCAATAGAAGATAAACAAGCAGGAACAATGACAGTGATGGATTTGAGGGCAAGCAGGAATGAGACAGCTTCCATTTCTTATACAAATGTTGTGATTGATGTAGTAGCATGCTTCATCGCCGATGTTAAGACCGTGATTTGTGATGATCTCTTTCTTCAGGAATGTATGAGATTTGGATGTCATATACATGAAAGACTTTATCCAAAGCAATTGCAAATTGTTGTTGTTCTTGTTATTGGAGTAATGAAAATGTTATTAATAGAATTGTGGCATTTAATTGATTATGAACTTGTATATCCTTAGCAGGTTCATCAAAGCTTGTGGATGAATGGGTTTCCTTTTGGTGGTTCATTTCTTAAATCAACGAGAGAAATTGAAATTATGATTTGTTTGACAAATTCATATTTGCCATAAAAATAGAATACATCACAATTTGGTTGAATGTTTTAGAGAAGAAGCATGCGGAGCCCAATTCAACCGTTGATGATGGATGGGAGAAGAATCCGAAATTCTTAAATTTCAGAAACTTCCGGATAAACAAAAGCACTTTTACAGAAAACAGAAACACAATAACCAAAACAAATTTTATTTTAAGACACTTGTTGATAGCGATTTGGTTGAGAATTTAGAGAATAAGCATATGGAAGCTATTTAACAATTGATGGGTTGAAAAGAGAAATAATAACTAAAGCGTTTTTCACAACAGAAAACAGAAACATGTCATTTTGTGCATTCGACCATTTGGTCCATGATTTAGAGTGGAAACATATTGAGTTCATTCAACAACAATCATGATTTTTTTTCTTTCTGAAAACTCTATTTTCAAGATAATAAAAACTCGATTTTCGTAAACCTTCGGAAACATTCAAAGCACTTTTGGAAACAGAAAACAGAAACAACTAAAGAATCAGAAAATTTTCAAGAACTTTCACAAACAACTAAGGCGCTTTCAGGAACAGAAAACAGAAACATGTTTTTAGTAACAATCAATTTGGTGGATCACAATGTGGTCGATTTAGACGGAAAACATGTTGGGCTCATCCGACGGTGGATGGAACGAAAAAAACTATTTTCAAAAATTTCAGAAACAGTCAAAGCACTTTCGGAAGCGAAAATCAGAAACAAAAAAAAAACATGATTTTGTTTTTCGTATCAATACAGTTGTTTATCAAAATTTGGTTCGAAATTAAAGGAGAAGCGTGCTGAGAAACAACTAAAAGTGCTTTGGGAACAGAATTCAGAGATGCAACCACTAAAAACATGTTTTTTGTATCAATTCTCGCGTGTTTATTATTGATGCCGACAGCTCCTCAACCTGTTCCCAGACTCTGCGCAACCGCAACCCTAACGCCTTCTGTTCTCTGTTGAGAGGGAAGACTCCATCTGATGGGGAACAACAAGAAGAGAAAGGAGAAGAACCACAAGAAGAAGAAGAGGAAGGCGACGGCCGAGCAGAACCTGGCGCTCAGATACGTCCACGAGTGGGCCTTCCGCGACTCTCCTCCTGCTTCTCCCGCCGGCGACGCTCCGGATGATTTCGCGCCGCAATCAAGTCATAAAATCGTCGATCCTGTCGTGTTCGAGCTCCACTGCCATTCCAACCACAGCGACGGCTTCCTGTCGCCGTCTGCTGTGGTGGAGAGAGCCCACAGCAACGGGGTGAGACTCGGAACCCATGCTTTCACAGCTTCATCTATGAATGAAATATGCTGCGTTTTCTGGTTCAAGATGAATGATTTCGACTGTTTTCGGCGTGTGTGGTGTGATTTAGCTTGCAAAGTTGATGTTTTTACCATCCGATTTTGTTTCTGTTTCTGATTCAGTGATATTCTTTTACTTCGAAAGATGCCTTTCTTTAATTTAGTATTGCTAATTTGTTTAAAGTTGCTAAATGATGGAAATCTACCAGCCTATAAAGAGCTACTCAATTTCAGTATTTGTTTCGCATATTATTCGAGTTCCTTTTAAGAATTTCACTGAAGTTAACAATCGAAAAAGGAAAATCAACAAATAAAATTCAGTCCAGCCTGGCTGTGATTCTTGTAAGATAAATTTCCAGCTCAATCACACTAAAATTTGGCGGCATCATTTTGAATATCCCATGTTGTTTTTACTTGTCGAATTGCAGTTAGCTAGATACTTTGGTTTAAAACTCCTGTCTTTCTGAATTTAAATTTATTACTTTCTTCATTCATCATCTCAACCTCTCTTTATGAAATTTTGGTTAGAAATATGGAAGTCTCATTGCGATCGTGTAGATATTACCAAATCGATTGATTTTATTTTGCTAACTGCTTGAAATTAGACAAGATTGTAAGAGAACCATCCCGTGCGAGGTAACATAAACTATTGACAGAAATAATTTGATGATCTGAAGAATCATGGTAGGTGACGTTGATAATTGTAGATGTAATTGTAGGTTGTGCTGTAGCTTTATAGTGAAAGTGGGATATTAAAAAACCACCTCTATCCTAAAATTGAGGCAAATTTGACTCTTCTATAAGTGATCCTATTCGTGTGGGTCATCTTCAGATCATGCAAATGAACATCGTAGATTTCTCTATCACTTTTGGAGAGTGCCTTTTGTCAGTCAGTTGGTGGATTTAGGTATTAGCCACAGAGATCAATAGACGAAATCCTACATATGCTTGACTCTCCAAGAGCTGGCATGATGGTTTAATCTTTCATACTGGTTCTGTTTGACCATTCCATGTCTGTGAAACTATTACACCAATTTAGGGAGTAAACCTATGTGAATATGTCCATGTCTTTATTGGCAAAAAGATGGATAATGGCATACCAGTGGAGGTATTTGGAAATAAGAGCAAACATGTGTACATAAGATAAAGCATAAGCTTCATGATAATTCAAGAAGACTTTGTGGAATAATCAGGCACTAATGGACAAATCCCCATATCAAATTGGTAAACTATTGATGCAGTAAGAAAATCTTGTGTTTGTTATTGTTGTGGCTTCTATTTTTTTGTTGACGTGCATTGTTAAATGGTTACCAATTGTTCCATCACAAGTTGTGACTCTGGCCCTTGGATATAATTTGGCTGGTGGTTGGTGCATCATACCTATGTTGAGAGATCATGTTAGTGTCCAAAATTCTGACACTTAGCATGACATCATACCTAGTAAGCTAATAAAAACATAAATATTATGCATATATTATTATTATCTAGCAATGTGTTTTGTAATATTTATGATTTATAAACATATTATAATAGACACTATAAAAGGCTATCTGAAGTTGAAATCCATGCTTTTAAATATGTTATGCAGAAAGTTCTCTAAAATAATCTTTGCATTATATATGAGTATTAATTTTTTTAAGTATATTTTGTAACAAAAAGATGTGGTCCTTTGCCAAAGAGGGTACTTTAGCCTTCAAAGGACTATATTTTGAGCTGAAATTTTGTATATATTTGCTCATATATACCTTTACTCTCATCCATTATGTGGAGTTTTCTTTTAGTGTCAGTTGTAAGTTATATTGTCACTCTACTCATGAACATCTCATCCTTTTCTCATTAGAAATCTTATTGGCAGTAAAAAATGTGGTCCTCTCAACCTCTTTTACTGCTAAGATACGAGCCTCCAAATGACTTTATTGTGAGTGAGTTATGTTCTAGCCAATAATTTTCTAACAGAAGTGATGATGACAGTTGAACTAAGAGGGTAGTTTAGCTTTCAAATGATTATGTTTTGAGCTTAAACTTTGTATATATTTGCCCTTATATATCTTTTGAGTTACAGTTAAATTTCATGATGATAGATGATTTGACCATGAACAGTGATGAAGCAAGAATACTCCCTACAGAATTGTGAAGTTGTATGATTGGTAATAATTATGTGATTTAATTGAAATTTAAGTAAATTTGCAGAATAGTTATAGGTTATTTTAGGAGAGGTTCTGTCAAAATTTCTTACAAATTGTAGTTTTACATTAAGAGCCATAAGTGCCAATAGGATGTATACTACTTAAATTTAGATATGCCATAACCATCTGATCCAAATTTAACTTCCTAGCAAATTTGTTCGCTAAGAACCATGGCCTTTTTGTGGCTTATAGTTATCAATCATACTACTACACAGTTCTGTGTAGAGTAATCTTGCTTCATCACTTGACATGGGCACACCATCTTATATTACAATAATTTTGTAGGAATTCAGAAGACATATTAAGGTAAATATATATAAAATTTTAGTTCAAAATATTACTCTTTGGAGGCTAAACTAACTCCTAGTTCGACTGTCATCCAACTCTTGTATTTATAAGATATATCAAAAGCATAGAAGCTAATTGTATCTTTAAGGGTTTCAAATTGGCTACAACATAACCCTTTCATAGGAAACAAGAGATTTCGACTACTTAATCTTGATAAACCCATATCATATATCTTTATGCAGACTTTAGATTAAAGCAATTCAAGACCCGATAGAACCATAACTCAATATATAAAAAAAATTAGATATTTATTCAAAGCTTAATTTATTTGATTTCATATAAAAATATCATTCTATCAAGCTGTTAAGGTCGAAACCATATATATATATATATATATATATATATATATATATATATATATATATATATATATATATATATATACACGTATGTGTATATATATGTATGGGTATATATTTATATATGTATATGTATATGTATATATATATATGTATATATATATATGTGCATCTAGATGTATATATATAAATAAATATATATATATATATATATATATACATATATACATATATACATATGTATATATATATATATATATATACTAAAATGAGAGAGCTAGTCTTCATAGTGAAAAAATATGAGAAAAGTGAAATAGGTGCTTAATCTAGTGATAGAATAAGGATGAGAGTACAAAAAGAGATGGTCAGAGAATTTCAGAATTTGGACTGCTTATTGGGCTATAAATGTCACATAATGGATTGAGCTCAATCTACCAGGGTTCATCTTAAGTTATATTTTTTTATGCAAACTTAATATGGGTTTAAATCGGACCTAATTTGAGTTTAAAAAATGACAGTTTTCGATCAAAATTGGTCACTCAATCTCACTTATGTACCTTAATATTTTTAATGTGGCAATCCATTTTCATTTTCATCTTTATCCAGTTATCTAATATTCCATCTATGTATGAATAAATCAATTTACTCTCGCACACAACATGTGATGGTTAAGCCTCAAAATCAGTTACATTAAACATGATCAAACTCAATCAAGCTTTAGGAAACACTTAAGGTTTGATTTAATGCAAAAATCTCTACTAAATAATGCATGCATGCTCACTAAAATACTTTAATCTCATGTACAAGTCCGCTAGCATATTTCTACTCATTTTGTCAGAGGATCGTACCTTTTCGCTGAAAAATTATAATCAAAGAGTATTTTGAAAACATTTTACATAACATGTTTCAAAGATATCATGTTTAAAAACTTGTACTTCAACTTAAAATAGCATGAGTATATTAAATTATGTTTATGAAACATAAATATCACAAAATATATTGTTAGATAATGATAATTTATGTATGATATTTGTGTTTCTATTGGCTTGCTAGGCTTGCTAGGTGTGATGCAGAGTGTGAGATACTTGGATACTACAATCAAAATCTCATCCATCTAATTTTTTAGGATATTAGTTAGTTTATCTTAGAAAAACTTTAATGGTTGATAGTATGGTCTTGGGATCTAATCCCTGTTCTGACCACTTACCATTTGCCCAAAAAAAAAAAAAAATCCTGGATATAGTTGTTTTGAAGTATTGATTGAGATTACTACTAGGATTTTGTGGGTGCTTGAATTAGAGTAGTAAATGTTTCAGAAGTTCACTTGATCAAGATAGCATTTTGATGTATAATAGTGAATAGACTTTAATGTATTTGTTCTTTAAGCAGTCCTAGGCCATGTTTATAAAGGTGCTCCAAACTCTGAACCCAGAGAAGTCAAGATAGTCACACTAGTTTCTCGGCTTTTCAATGAATTAGAATTTTAATACTCACTTCACATTAATTCCAAGAAGAATTCTGAGACATTTATGGCATGAATTGTACATCATTTGAAAGCTTATTGAGTTAGTAGTCAAAGACATTTTACATATTTTGATTTGAAGTTTTTTAGAGGAATTTATGCTTAGTTCTCTCTACAAAGTCTTGACATCAGGTCCTGATTACTGCTGTACCGAGACGGGGAAAAGTTCTTCTCACCTTTTGGAGTTCCTATATGATTTTTAGTTATTCTAAGTCTTTAGTTAGGTTTAATTTATTTTAAAATTTGAAAATGATGAAGAATTAATCATCCATGCTTGGAGGGTTGTTCCAAGCCTATCATTGTGTATATCTCATTTCATTCAAGCCTTGGAAGCATAAAGTGTTTTGAGTGTTTGAATGGAAGTCTTGTTACTTGAGAGGTATTGTTTTTCTCATACAACTCTGTCTCTCTTTGGTGGATTCCTTAGAGTGGTGAATTTCTAAACTCTATATCCCTAGATAGTCTCATTTGGTGACGATGTTTGTATCCCTTTGATGTAATCTTAGGTGGTGAGCTTGTTTATTCCTTCACTTTGTTCTCCACTTATTTCCTCTTCATCCCGACATCAAGCTGGTAATCTCTTGGAAAGCAGAGGACAATGACTATAAAAGAAAGAAGAGAGTTGCATATGATTTAATCCAATTAATGGTGATGAAAAGTATCATGCTAACTGCACCTATTGAACCTTTTATCGCACCTATTGAAAAGTACATTTCTATTGAAAAGTATCTTACTATAATGTTCACATATTAATATGATAAATCCTGCTTCCACTGGAACTTGTTTATTGCACTATATCCTTCCCCTGCTCTTGCTTTGCAATGAAAAGAACATTTCTATTTCTTCTAGCAACAGGATTTTCTGCTGATCATTCATGTATTTATTGGTTCCTGCCTTCTAAAATGTGTTGGTATTGCTAAATTTTAAGAAGATACTGTCCTTATTATGTCTGTGTTTTTTTATTCATGATGAGAGTGGGCTTTGATGCATAATGAAAGGTTGGTCTTGTTTGTATAATATGGGCATGATGCTTTGTTTCTTCCAACTGGACTGCCTATTTGCTCTTCTTATTTGTTATGTTAGGAACTACATAATCTGAAACTTTCTACATTTTAAGATCACATGATTCTGCCTATAAGATTTTTCTCTTCTGGAAATTTCCTTTTGTATGTTATTTAGTTCATAAGTAGCAGTTGGAATTGGAACATGACTAGTTGTTTGTGTGTCCAGAGCAGGTGAAGGTTCTTGCTCTTACAGACCATGATACCATGGCTGGCATACCAGAGGCCACAGAAACAGCCCAGAAATATGGGATGAGGATAATTCCTGGTGTTGAAATAAGTGCAATATATTCTCCACGGTAATTGTTTTGTCCTACAATTTGTAATTAATTTTCTCCGAGGTATATTTCTTCTACAAATGTTGTCATTTGGGGTAAGTGAAATGGAAGTGGTGTATTAAGAAATGGTATTTATTACTGATGAAGGATTTTTAAAGAAATGTGTGGAAATGCGTGGAACAATAACATTTTGACTTCAAGTTTTTTATTGCAGTTGTTTCCTAGTTTTTATTATAGTCTATTCTTCTGTACCAGCAGAATCATGGGCTATACTAGAAGGTCTAGAGCTTGCTCAATCCAGAAGCGTGAAATTTCTTTGGTTTAAATCTGACTTACTGCAAGCTAGTAACCTTTTGAATTGTCAAGCTGAGATATCTTGGCATGTAAATATCATCATATAGGATTGTAAGATACTAGCTTCTAGAGTTAGTGTTGTTAAATGGGGTTTTTTTCAACATGAATGTAATTTTGATGCCATTCTTTAGCCAATTATGCTCGGCTACAAGGTGTTTCTTGTGTTTGGTGTGGTGACTCACCCAGTTACCTCTCCTTACAAAACATTGTACCTTATAACTTGAATTAATAGATTTTTCTTTTGTTAAAAAAAATTAACTCTATTTCCCAAACAAGATTCTTGTATTGGGACTTCACACCATACCACGTAAATGTTCTTTTTTTATTGGACTTCTTTTGTTATTTCTTGAACATTGTGTCAGCTGTTGCTTTTAAAATTGACGACTCTTGTAATGTGTATTATTGATTTGCTTATCTTGTATCTGAATGGTTGAAGGCACGAACCTGGAGCTGGTGATCTTGTCCATATCCTTGCATATTATGGAAGCTCTGGGCCTTCAAGGCCTGAAGATCTGGATAACTTGTTGTTGAACATCAGAGATGGGCGCTACCTTCGTGCGAAGAATATGCTGCTGAAGTTAAATAAGTTGAAAGTTCCTATTAAGTGGGAACATGTGACCAAGATAGCAGGGGATGGGGTGGCTCCAGGGAGGGTACATATTGCTAGAGCATTGGTTGAAGCTGGTCATGTAGAGAACTTGAGAGAAGCTTTTAACAGATATCTGTATGATGGTGGTCCTGCTTACGCCATGTAAGGATCCAAACTCTTCAACAAGCATTTGAATTTGAAGAAGTTTGACATTACTACTTTTATCTTGTTCAGGGGCAATGAACCATTTGCAGAAGAAGTGGTGCAGTTGATTTGTCAGACTGGGGGTATAGCTGCTCTGGCCCACCCATGGGCATTGAAGAACCCAGTCACCGTGATTAGGAGCTTGAAAACTGCTGGCCTCCATGCCATGGAGGTATATAGAAGTGATGGGAAGGCTGCTGGTGTAGTTTCTGAACCTGGAACACTTTGTCATGTATTTCATTTTATTTCAGGAAGTATATTGCTTAATTCTTTATTATGATGGGCTGATCAGTCATTTGTCTTGCATGGAAAAATTTGTCATTTATAACAGGATTTGGTGAGTTAGCTGATACGTACAAGCTTATAAAACTTGGAGGATCAGATTATCATGGGAGAGGTGGTCATGATGAGTCTGAGCTGGGGACTGTTAGCCTTCCACTTGCAACCGTATATCAGTTCTTGAAGATGGCTCGGCCCATCTGGTGCAATGCTATGAAAGATATCCTACAAAGTTTCGCAAAGGATCCTTCTGATGCTAATATAGAGAAAATCACAAGGTTTGGGATACCAAAGAAATCAAAAGTGTGTCACACTGTTAATTGTGGTAAAGACATCGTTGATCTATGCCTGTCCTCTTGGCTCACCAGTGATGAAAAGGAGGAAAACGAATTCCAGGCCATCAGGCTGATGCTTGCAGACACTCTCATTAGCAATGGGGTAGTGAAAGTTTTTGGCTAAGCTGATGGCTTCTGGCAGTAAATTCAACGGCATTGTTGATGTAGTCCAGTGTAGAGGCATTTTACATTTGTCAGCTGGGTGACGTTTTCGGATCACATTTTACATGTATGTTGGACAAGAAGATATCAAAAGGGCAAATACTTTTATATACTATAATTTGGCATTGCCAGTGACATTAGTTTTTGAGTACAGACCCCTGTCAATTGGCTGCAACTCTTGTTGCAAATTTGTATTTGAAATTAGTATATAGATTGGTATGTTTTACTCTTTAAATAATGCTTGTGTCGTTTTTTGTAAAAGTAAAAGTAGAATACATAGAAAGTAGTAAAAGAAAACAATAAGAACAATATTTTTGGTAATTTGTAACTTGATACTGTATCTTTGAATTACGTGGATCATCCATGAATAAGATCAAAATGTGTGTATATATATATATATATATATATATATATATATATATATATATATATATATGATTTTCTTTAAAAAAAAATTTTTTGGTATTTTTCAGAAGGTAGTTCTTTTTCTTTTTTTTTCGTTTTCTCAACCAATCATCCCTTATTTTCAACATCTCAAAAATATCCCTTTAAAAGTTGCATTGTGTTGTTTTGCCCACTTGTGACCCATCTTATGGATCGATCCATAGAGTGGACCCTATGGATCCATCCAAGTGTTATTCAAAGATAATGTATAGCTATATGAAAAATACTCTATAGTTTTAAAAGATATTGTTATTAACATGATTGTTTGTCCCTTATAATATCATTGGCCGTAGAGCATTAAAAGAGCACATTTGTAAGCTTGTAGTTTGTCTTGGCTAAGGTTAGGAGTCATTAATGTGATTTATATAAATATTAAAAGATAATATATTTTATATGATCTTCTGCCTTTTACGATATCATTTGTCAAGTATTAGAAGAGCATATTTGTAAGCTTATAGTTTGTTTTGACTAAGGTTAGGAGTCATCATAGTGATTTACAATATTTTTTTTTAATTTTTTATGATGTTTCTTCGAGGTGTCCAAAATATTGTATCGTGATTTCAAAACACTGTACAGTTTTTGAAAAATACTTTAATTATCGTCCACTTCTTACGATATCGTTGATCATAGAGTATTAAAAGACTACATTTGTAAGTTTTTTTATAGTTTTGACTGAGGTTAGGGGTCATTATGATGATTTATAGTGTTTTCTTTCAATTGTTATAGTGGTTTTGACAAGGTGTCCAAAATATTATATAGGTAATCTAGACTACTATATATATATATTAAAAAAATACTATAATTGATAGAATTTTCTACCTCTTATAATTGATAGAATATTTTTAGGAAAATCATATATATATATATATATATATATATATATATATATATATATATATATATATATATATATATATATATATATATATATATATATGAATGGCCACCAAATGATACCTAACCGGTGAATATTGATTGATGATCAATACACATCTTTTTAGGTTTTTCTGGCAAAAGCTCATGTTTTGGATGTTTCACACAAAATGGCCCTTCCTTTTTCAGTCCGATAAAATCATCATCAATTCACTTTTTTTTCCCACTTACCCAATTGAATCAACACATTCCAATTGGACCTATTAACCTAACATAACATTTAGACCAGCATTTAATTGAATCAAAGGCATTCAATTGAGTCAACCTAACTTTTTTTCCCTCCTTCAAACATGTCAACGAGACATTCAAGCTCTTTAACATAACCCAATATTTAAATAGACTCAAAATAAAGAATATAAAAATATTTAGTATTATGACATCGTCACAATTGAATTTTAGAGGTGCCTTATTATTTAAAGGTTTGATAATAACTTTGAATCGGATTGTTTCAATCCACTAATCATGGGTTAGTTCGGTTCGATCAATGCGTCTTGATCACAACGAAATGAGTCAAGCTTTAATGATTATCATCAGGCTACGGTTTGTTTTGAGTCGAATCTAACAACTTAAATGACAAAGGAGAGAACTCATAAGTTAAATTGATCGAGTATAACATTAGTGTATGCGGTGATGGTGAGATCCTTTCCATCGATTCATACTCGATAGTAGCTTCGTTAGTATGGATTTCTCTCCAACAAGCAATGACGTTCATCAGTGATGAATTCTCTCTAGCAAGCAGCGATTGTGGTGACTATAACCCTTGGTAGTGGCTTCCCTTCCTCTACAACAACGATCTTTGATCTCCGATAACCCTCGACGATGTCATCTTCTTGGGTTTAGATCATCTTCTAGGGTTTTAGTGTAAACTTTGAGATACTTTGATTGGTTGATGATATATATGACTCTAAAATAGCATAGAATCATGAATTTGCCTATGATTGGTTGTTAGCGTTTGGATGTAGTGGTAAAAATATGGTTATATAAGAATGGTTGAACAAAGCAGTTATGTTGCTCCAAAACTTTGGGTGCAAACTTTCGATTTAAATGTGGTTGATCATGCTTCTAAATTTCATCATGTATATTCGGTGTGGTTAAGGTGGTCCACAACATATTGCTGTTCCTCTTGAGAGTTGAATGACTACCTGTTAGAGCTAGCCCCAGGAAATTTACCACAAGGTAATTTTGGCAACCCAACAAGACAATAAAGCGGAAAGAATAAAAGCGAGACAAGAACACCAGACAAGAAGACAAGAACACCAGAACACCAGATATACGTGGTTCGGTCAATTGACTTTGACCTACATCCACGGATGAAAGAGGAGCAAATTACTACTGCAAAAGAGGGACAATTACAAATGCCTTAGGAAGATGTTCCTAGGCCATAAAACACCCGAAAATACTGAACAAGAAAAACCAAACTATAAGTCCAAACTATTTAACTGAGTATGGACTTAAACCAAAGCAAACACTTAGGTTTTTCTTGTGGTGCATCTTGTGGTGTCACTTGTGGTACATCTGACTTCAAAGCCCAGGCCCTTATTTATAGTTCCAAGACGAGACAATAAGTCTGATTTTCCCGATGTGGGACTATGGGACTTGCCAAACTAACAAATCTCCACCTTGGCATGTTCCAACAAAACTTGCTCCACCTTCTTAATAAAAGCCCCAACGGGCAATCACCAACAATGAACACCAACCAAGTCCAAGCACTACTTGAACTTGTAAACCAGAAGAGGCTTCGTAAGCATATCAGTTGGATTGTCCTTCGGAATTTTCTGAACAAAGACTTTCCCCTTAGCAATGGTATCCCATTTGCATCCAACAATTTTCTTACCCGAAGGCGGCTTCACAAGATCCCAAGTTCTATTCCGATGGAGAGACTCAATTTCTTCATTCATCGCAATCAACCACTTAGCGGAATTATCACAAGAAACTGCATCTGAGTAGGATGTAGGCTCACCAACTTCACTTGTCTCTTCTGCAACAGACAAAGCATATGCAACCAAATTTGCATATCTTTGTGGTGGTCGAATATCTCTCCGTGGTCTATCCTTGGCTATGGAATATTGCTCTTCCTCTGGATCATCTGCGTCAGTAGACTCGGGACCACCTACTGGCATTCTTTGAGTAGAATAGTTCGACTTAAAAGAATCTGAACTACCAATCTCAAGCTCCACCTGCTTCTGCGCACTATCATTTGTACAACTAGTAGAATCCTCTTTGGAAGATAACATAAACAATTCATCAAAAGTAACATATCTACTGATTATAAATTTTGGGGATTTGGGATCAGAACACCATAATCTGTATCCTTTCACCCCAGAAGCATACCCAAGGAAAATGCACTTTTTAGCCCGAGGCTCTAATTTTCCTTCATTTACATGCATGTATGCTGGACACCCAAAAATTTTTAAATCAGAATAATCAGTAGGAGTACCTGACCAAACTTCCTCCGGAGTTTTAAAGTTAAGTGCTGCAGAAGGAGCGCGGTTGACAACGTAACAGGCCATATTAATCGCCTCTGCCCAAAAGTCTTTTGTCAACCCTGCATTTGAGATCATACACCTCGCTCTCTCCAAGAGTTTTCTATTCATACGTTCGGCCACACCATTTTGTTGAGGCATCATTCTAACAGTGCGATGCCGAGCAATTCCTTCATTTTTATAAAATTCTTCAAAGTCACCTTCACAAAATTCCATGCCATTATTTGTTCGAAGCCGCTTAATCTGTTTACCTGTTTGTTTCTCAATCAAAGCCTTCTATTGTTTAAATGTTAGAAAAACATCATTTTTATGCTTCAGAAAATAAACCCAAACTTTCCTGGAATAATCGTCAATGAAAGTCAACATATACCTGGCACCACCCTTAGATTGAACATGAGCTGGACCCCAAAGGTCTGAATGAATATAGTCAAGAGTACCTTTCGTTTTGTGAACTACCGGAGAAGTGAAGCTAACTCTTTTCTGCTTTCCAAAAAATGCAGTGTTCACAAAAGTCCAGTGGCCCAGTACTCTGTCCGCAAAGTAGACCTCTTTTGCTCAATATGCTCAAACCTTTCTCGCTCATATGACCCAAACGCATATGCCATAATTTGGTGATGTCAGAATCAGACAATGATGATGACGAAACTGCAACCGAACCTGTGACAGTAGTTCCCTTCAGAATATACAAGCTACCAGACCTACAAGCTTTCATAACAATAAGGGCACTTCTAGAAACTTTCATAACTCCACATTCAGTTGTGTATTTACACCCAAGGGCCTCTAGGGTGCCTAAAGAGATGAGATTCTTTTTTAAATCAGGAACATGTCTAACATTAGTGAGCGTCCTCACAATACCATCATGCATTTTAATTCGGATTGTTCCTCTACCAACAACATCAAATGCGGCATTATTGCCCATCAAAACAATTCCACAATTACAAGATTCATATGTGGAAAACAAATCCCTATTAGGACACATGTGATAAGAACAACCTGAATCTAAAATCCATTCATTTTTAGACCTCGTCCTGTCATCAATAGCAGAAAAAATATTTCCAATAATCTCATCAGTTACTACACTAACTTCAGCGGATTCAGTAGTTTTTTCAACAAATTTTTCCTTTTGCTTTAATTTATTTTTCAATTTAAAGCAATCAGATTTAATGTGCCCCATTTTATGACAATATCTGCATTCCAAATTTCTATGTCTGGATTTAGATCTAGATTTAGATCTACTACTGTCAAATTTTCTTTTATCCATTCTCCCCCTAACAACTAGA